GATTTAGAGGTAAAATGGAGGCCCTTGTATTAATGAAACAATGAAATTGGAGAGCTATATCCTAAATGTAAAGTTGCCTAAAAGAGAAAAATCCACCCCTTAGGTTAAGCAAAACAAAAAGTTTGTCTGTTTCAGCCTGGTCTCTGTCTGAAAAATGTCAACAATAAAGAAATCTTTTCTGAAAATTTGTAACCAACGTCTTGTCTTCAGTTAAGCTGATGGTCACATTTATCGTTTCTGCTTGTAACAAGAACTATCAGACAACTGATCTAGAAAGAGCCATCAGGGGACATGTCCAACTTTTTCTTTACTTTCATAGAATAAAGTGAGTAGCATAGAAGCTGGAACCAAATGGATATGTATGCCCTCTTTCAAAATTTTCCTTGTTCTGATTTTATGTCAGCAATAATTTCAAACGAAGATTTTTGCCTTAGAGGATGGCATGTGTACTTCATAATTAAGAAGGAACATAATACCCTTGGCTTAGGTACCCTCCATTGAGAACGCCTTTTTTAAAAACTGTAATGTTTTTGATTTGACATTTAATTCCACAGACTCTTAATAACCATTTATTCAGTCCCTCTCTCAATGAGCTTTTCATCTTGCGGCACAGAGAAAAGTCATGGCAAAACGACGTGAATTCAAGCACGTGACACTCAGCTCTTGTTTCACTTCATCAGTTCCTTCAACTGGTCCCTCATATAATATGATTTCAAGATCCTTTCCCATTCTGGCTCACAAAGTCAAGAAAATTGAACAGATTCATGAGTGGCTGATGACATTAAAGCTGTTACAAGGGAAGTGCTTAGAGACCAAAAACTAAGTGGAAGCCAAGCAAGTGAAGCAGCGAGGTTCAGTTATAGAGGGCATCTGAAGTCCTCATTTCTAGGAAAGGAGTATGGTACCATGAATCTGTAAGTGCCTGAGGTGCAAATAATGTAGTGGAGGAGGACGTACTTACATCACACACATTCTGAAAACAGAGTGACAGGTAACCTGAGTTAGCCAGAGTACAGCCAGTGGATATCCCCATTGCTGTCAGAATGATTCCAGTCAGGGCAAAGCTTTCCTGGTGCTTATTTGACCAAATGTTGATGCACAAGTCTGCTAAATCCTTCAGTGTCAGTCACTAAAATATGGTATGTCCCTAAGCACATGAATGTGACAGTTTAGCTTTTGAAAATTCTTGAAATTCAGTGAATTCCCTACGCAATCTGGGATATGGGCTTATTCCATGTAGAAAGATTAAATATTCAGGTGAAATGACTTTTTCACTTTCAACAAGTTATTTTCACATAATGTGATGATTAAACCTGGTTAAGTATGTCACAAAACAAACTAAAACCAGGAATGTCTTCGAAAGCCAAGATACCCCGCCATAATAGCTTTTGAGCTGCCCTTACTAAGCCTGTTGGTAGTCCTATAGCTGCTTCAGACTAATACTAGCAGAAAACAAACAAACAAACTTAGGGGTAGTTAGTAGATACACTTTATATTTTATTCTAATAATAAAATGCCATTATTTTCACTGTTAGAAAAATCTGGAGAAAATCCAGAGGAAAGAACAGAAGACTCATGGGAAATAGGGCTGTTCAAGATGGGGTGGCTTTATCTCTTTTCAGGTGACACTCCTTTAAGTTCCCACTCCTTACTTGACACCCAAGGCCCCATAAAATTAACCTGGCTCTGTGATTGTGCTTCTATTATTCTCTAGTTCTCCCAAGTCAGGGCTCTCCCCATCCACTGTCTCCATGCCTTTGCTCTGAGTTCCCAGAAGATGTGTCCTCTGCAATGTCCTACCTCCAATTCTTAGGTGTAGGGCTATCACAACCTTCCCAGCACATGATGCTTTCACTGCCCAAATAGCTCTTCTTCCTTTAAACTCTGACAGCACTTACTGCCATGTTTAATTTGGCACTTACCTTTGTCCAGCTATTTTTGACATTTAATATGTCTAGATCTTATCTCCCCAGCTAAACTGTCCATTCACTGAAAGAAGAAAGCAGATTTCGATCTTTCACTGCATAATCCCCGAAGGGGCCTGGCATGGCTGTTTTTTGTAATGAACCTCAGTGCATGACTTTTTATTTATCTCTATGAATTTAAGGACAGAATGATGAAAGTGTAAAAAAGAAAAAAGGGAAAGGATAAGTTGTGTGGAGACCACTCGGTGATACTTTTAGGCGTCTGTACTTTGAAAGGATAGTTTTGATCTCAGAAGGAAGCATCACGATGGAACTTCCTCGTTTCCCTGAGAGTCATTCAAACTTCTGGTCACCTATTTTTCTTTGTGACTGGGATGTACTGGTATACAATCAGACTTGGATGGGGCCCTATGAAACATGGCCCAAAGCCCACAGAGAGTACCAGTTTATACTCCCCGCTTTTCCTCTTCATCATCTCTGCTGAGGTACCTCAGAGCTAAGCCAGTACTAAGAGAAGCATAGTCACAATTTGTTATGGCCTGAATGCGTCCCTCAAAATGCATATACTGAAACTTAATTGCCAATGTAATGGCATAATTAAGAGGCAGGGCCTTTAAGAGGTGATTAAGTCATGAAGGTAGAGCCCTCATGGATTGGATTAGGGCCCTTATAAAAAGGCTTGTGGGAGCAGGTTTGCTCACTTCTGCCTTCTTTTGTTCTTCTGCCTTCTGCCATGTGAGGACATATTGTTCCTCTCCTCCAGAGGATACAGCAACAAGGTGCCACCTTAGAAGGAGAGACCAGGTCCTTATTACAACCCTTGATCTTGGACTTCCCAGTCTCCCGAACTGTGAGAAATAAACTTATACTGTTTATAAATTACCTAGTTTGAGGTATTTTGTTATAGCAGCACAAGTGGACTAAGATATACTTCCTGTATACTAGCTCTGACCAGTGGCAACAATTTCAAAAGCTAAAGGACCAGTTTTGTGCCAAAGGAACCAGCCCAAAGGTTACTAGATATACAAGCCAATCATCCTGGTTGTACAGAGTTGCCATTTACAATGGTTCTCAATATTGCTGCATATCAGAACCACCTGGGGAGCTTTTAAAAATCCTTCTGCCAAGCTGCACTATTTAAATATGAATCTCAGCTGGGCTCGGTGGCTCAGCCTGTAATCCCAGCACTTTGGGAGGTCGAGGCGGTGGACTGCCTGAGGTTGAGGGTTCGAGATCAGCCTGGTAAACTTGGCGAGACCTCATCTCTACAATAAAACAAAAAATTAGCTGGGCACAGTAGCATGTGCCTGTAGTTCCAGTTACTTGGAAGACTGAGGCAGAAGGATTGCCTGAGTCCAGCAGGTCAGCACTGTGGTAGCCGTGAGAGTGCTACTGCATTCCAGCCTAGGTGACAGAGTGAGACTCCAACTAATAAATAAATAAATAATACAAATCTCTAGGAAGGGACCCAGGCATCAGTGTTTTAAAAAATTGACCAGGTGACTTCAAACTGCAGCCCAGATTGAGAAACAGTGGTTTAACCATGTCCATTAGCAACATTCATTCTGCAGGGGTAATGTTAGAAAACACTGGCCCATTTAGAAATGAACAGTGACTGTGGAAGGCCATAGGGACAGAACTTATCTTTGATTATCCAGATGGCTGAATATGTAGCTTGCAATTAAGCCAATCTTTAGTGTATCCATGTTTTTCTCTTCCACTGTCTTTTGGGATCCCATTAGCATTTCTACCTAAAGTAAACAAGAAGAATCTAGAATTGATAGCATTACATTTCCTGTTCTATTAGTGGGTAGAGGAGCTCCCAGTGGTTCTTGTCCCTAACTGTTCATTAGAATCAACTGGGAGAATTAAAAACACTGATACAAGTTCTTATCCTCAGTTATGCAGGTTCAATTTGCGTAGAGCTATGGTTCTTAACTCATCACCTAGGAACTCTTTAGAAATGCAGATTCTCGGACCTATCTCAGACTGACTGAATCAGAAACGTGAGTCAGGGAAGGGGTGAGACCAGAAATCTATTTTAATAAGCCTTCCCAAGCATGATGGTGATGCTGAAGTTTACAAACTACCGATTTAGGTAAGGCACAGGTTTCAGTGATTTTTGAAAAGTTCTACAGGTGTTTTTACTAGGAAGCCTAGATGGAGACTCCTGGCTTGGGGGTGGTGGTGGGGGGGGGTTTGGCATTTGTCTTTGAACTTTGGTTTCCGTGCTCTCCCAATTTCCAGTCTCTCATGAGAAACTCCATGGGTGCCATTCATTGGGCTGAGTGTGAGAGGTCTTGCATTATGTTGAAAAATAATGAATTTGGTGTTGTGTTCAGTCATTTTAATACCTGAATTAGATCAGCAGTGAAGCCCATCTAACTACTCATTCAAACATCTGCCAATGAAATCTCTCATCTTCATCATCCCCCTGCGAAATGAATACAGACTTTCTTCCAAAATAACTCATAGCCAAATATAACCATCTTTTATATTTGATAGGATAAAAGAGATGATTATGATAGGTCTTCTTTAAAATGGGCTTTTGGGTCAAAATTTCATGCTTCTATTGGGCTTCCATCTCATCCTCAAAGAAAACTTAATAGTTTAAAAAGCTCAGAGTTTTTATTTGTGCAATGATAGCATTTAGAATTCTAAATTCTAGAAAGTACAAAAAAGTCTCTGGTAAGATATGCAGTCAATGGAATCTTTATATGAAGCCTAATTCATACTTTGAAAGAGGTTACTATGCAATGACTAATGCCTCAAAGAGTGGCAAACAGACTGACTGTTGTCTTGTTCTGCATTTGGCTGGGCCTGGGGCAGTAGAGGAAAGACATCACTTACCTCTGGAACTCCAAAGAGACTTCATGAGAAAGGGGGCAACCCTATAGATCAGTTTATGTCTCTGAGCATCTTTCATGACAAGTTGTTGATGGAATATAAAATCTACTAGCCTTAGACAGAAGCGGTTGAGATTGCAAACATGCCTCTCTCTATACATGCATCAAAGTCAACAGGGCTGTTCCCTCACCAGCCTTGGAGACCCCCATCTGTCTACTGAGAGTTTACCTCGAGGACAGTAGATGTCTGGAGCCCATCGGTTGCACTCATAATTGTCTGCTGCCTTTTCACAGGTGAAACACTTAAATCCACCAGGATATGGTGTGGCTACAGAAAAGATCAAGAGAAAAGGTTTCTTTTTAGACAGAATCCTGTAAAGTTAGATATTTTCATTTTAGAAAAAAGAATTCTCAAGACAGCTTGGCAGTTTCTTAAGAGACGAAAACTTCAACCACCATGTGACCCAGCAATTTCACTCTTGGGCATTTGTCCCTGAGAAATGAACACTTATAATCACATAAAAATCTGTACACAAATGTCAACAGCAACTTTATTTGTGTTAAACAAAAACTGGAAATAATATAGATGTCCTTCAGTGGGTAAATGTTAAACAAACTGTGGTTCATCCATACTATGGAATGCTAATCAGCAATACAAAAAAGGAATGAGCTATTACTACATTCAACAACTTGCATGAATTTCCAGGGAATTATTCTGAGTGAAAAAAGCCAATTGCAACAAGGTACATACAATATAGTTCCGTTTATATAACATGTTGAAGCGATTAGTAGTTGCCAGTGGTTATGGATGGCAGGGATGGGGGAGAGGAGGCTTGGAAGGAGGGAAGTGTGAGGCCAGCATGAGGAATTCTGGTGCTACAGAAACTCTTCGGTGTCTTGAATGTGGTGGAGGATATAAAAACCTACACATGTGACAAAATTGTATAGAACTACATACACATGCACACAAATGAATGAGTGAAACTGGGGAAGTCTGAAGAACATTGATGGACTGATTGAATCAATACTAATATTATGGTTATGATATTGTTCTATAGTGTTTTGAATTGTCACTGTTGGTAAAAGGTACATGGGATCTCACTATATTATTTCTTACAACTGCATATGACTCTACAATGATCTCAACACAATTTTTTTTTAAAAAGGCATTATCTGGATTTCTAATGGTACCAACATATACACACATGTCAACGTATAAATATTAGGTTGGATCATTTAAAATTTCCTGAGGTTTGACCATTTCAGTGTACAACAGTGGCAACTTCTCTGGTTTGATATATTTTTATCTGGTCAGACCTGACCTGGTAAGAATCCCTGAGGATGGCAAGTATCAGCTAAGAAAAGAATCTATAATAGATGCTGCCTGCACAGAGGTGACCCTCCTAAGGGGCCTCTCAGGCCGAAGTCCAACATCTAAGGCAGCAGGAACCTGAGGGAATGTGGAGATGTGGATGCTTCCACCAGGCTCCCAGCTTCAGAGTGAGTGCTCAGCCGTTATGGAAGGAGCCCCTTGTATCTCTTTCCGCCTCTCCCCACTCCTGAGTCACTTCTTCCTGCCTTCTGAAGGGACTACCCTCCAGGTGCTTGTGTTCTTTGCCTGGAAGCTCAGGTGGAGGGGTGTCCCATAAGAGTCATGCTCTCGAGAGTGTCCACCCACCCAGAACCTTCCTTCAGAATAAGGACTAGGAGCAACAAGGAGTATCAGGCCCAGTGGTTCTCTGTCCTTTTCACAGATGTGCTTTTAATGGTTTCTAAGTCCTGATCATTTGCTTGCTTTGCTGGAGTTTTGTCTTTCATAAACAAAACGTGTGTGTGTGTGTGTGTGTGTGTGTTTTAATTTGTAAATTTACCTGGCCTATTTGAAAGCTGCAAACACTCAGACACTTCATCTGCAGGAGCCAACTGTTCTCTCTCGCAGATGGCTGAGCCTGCTTATCCCACTGGCGGAAATAATCATCTCAGGGTAAATTGCTTTGCCCACATGGAACCAATTAGGTGTGTTATCAAAAATAAATGAAGGAGAGGCAGCAGCTTAAGGCCAGAATTATGGGCCAGCTATAACTTTGATTTTCACCTTGCCTAGAGTAGCTGCCCATCCGTGTACTTGCCTGCAATATTTCACAGAGCTGACTGTGATGATATCCAATCATGTAACATGGTCAAAAATCATACACTGGCTAAAAAACACAAGCGACTAGACCTTTTTATGGGCCCATTTGAGAGCTCTATGTTCCTCTAAGGAGTTGGTGACTCAAATTTATAAACAGGATGATAGAAAATGATACACATAATACAAATGATAGAAAGCAGCTTAGACATAGCCATCCAACCCTTCATGCCCATGAGGAAGTTTCACTGAGGGGGAAAATGCTCTCCTATCATAATTGCAATAAAATAGAAGAAAAGAATTTTGTAAACTACAAAAAAATTTTTTTATAACATCACATTACCCACCTAGAAAAGTGTGTTACATTTGCATTGAGAGATTCTCTTTAGATAAGTACAGTCATATGTTGTTTTATTGCACTTTGTAGATATTGTGATTTTGATTTTTACATATTGAAGATTTGTGGCAACCTTGCATCAAGAGCAAGTCTACCTACCATTTTTCTAACCACATGTGCTCACTTTGTATCCTGCCACATTCTGGCAATTCTTGCAATATTTTAAACTTTTTCATTATTATTATATCTATATGGTGATCTGTGATGCAATCTTTGATGTTACTATTGTTACTGTTTTGGGGTGCCATGAACCGTGCCCACATAAAATGGTAAACTTAGTTCATATAGTTGTGTGTGTTCTGACTATTCTACCAACCTGCTGTTCCCCATCTCTCTTCCCTAAGGCCTCCCTTTTCCCTGAGACCCAACAATATTGAAATTATGCCAGTTAATAACCCCACAATGATCTCTAAGTTTTCAAGTGAAAGGAAGAGTTACACATCTTTTACTTTAAATCAAAATCTAGAAATGATTAAGCTTACTGATAAAGACATGTCAAATGCAGAGATAGGCCGAAAGCTGAGATAGGGCAAAAGCTAGGCCCCTCACACCAGTTACTCTCTAGCACCAGTTGGGAATGCAGAAGAAAGTTTCTTGAAGGGAGTTAAAAGTGCTACTCAGTGAACCCATGAATAACAAAGTGAAACAGCCTTAGCTGATATGGAGAAAGTTTAAGGTCTGCACAGATGATCAAACCAGACACAATATTACCTTATGCCAAAGCCTAATCCAGAGCAAGGCCCTAACTCTCTTCAATTTTATGAAGGCTAGAGAGGTGAGGAAGCTACAGAATTAAAGTTGAAAGTTAGCAGAGGTTGGTTCATGAGGTTTGAGGAAAGAAGCTGTCTCCATGACATAAAAGTTCAAGGTGAAGCAACAAGTGCTGATGGAGAAGCTGCAGCAAGTTATCCAGATCTAGCTAAGAACATTGATGAAGGTGGCTACACTAAACAACAGATCTTCAGAGCAAACCAAACAACCTCCTATTGGAAAAAGATGCCATCTAGGACTTCCATAACTATAGAGAAGAAGTCAATGCTTGGCTTCAAAGCTCAAAGCACAGGCTGACCCTCTTGTTAGAGGGTAATGTAGCTGGTGACTTTTAATTTGAAACTAGTGCTCATTTACCATTCAAAAATCTGGAACCCTCAAGAATTATGCTAAATTTATCCTGGCTCTGCTTTATACATGGAACACCAAAGCCTGGATGACAGAATATCTGTTTACAGCATGGTTTACTGAGTAGTATAAGCCCACTGTTGAGACCCCCTGCTGATTAAAAAGATTCCTTTCAAAAATATCACTGCTCGTTGACAATGCACCTGGCACCAAAGAGCTCTAACAGAGATGAACAAGGATATTAATGTTTTTGTGCCTGCTAACATAACAATGTTGTTTTTGTGCCTGCTAACACAACATCCATTCTGCAGCCCATAATTTAAGAAATAAATTTGATTTTCAAGTCTTATTATTTAAGAAAAACATTTCATAAGCTATAGCTGCCATAGGTAGTGATTCCTCTGATGGATCTGGTCAAAGTAAACTAAAAACCTCTGGAAAGTATTCACCATTCTAGACGCCATTAAGAACATTTGTAATTCATGAGAAGAGGTCAAACTGTCAACATTAACAGGGGTCCAGAAGAAGTTGATTCCAACCCACATGGATGACTGTGAAGTATTCAAGACTTCAGTGGAGAAGTAACTGTAGGTGTGGTGACAATAGCAAGAGAACTGTAATTAAAAGTGCAGTCTGAGCATGTGACTGAATTGCTGCAGTCTCAAGGTTAAACTTGAACAGATGAAGAGTTGCTTCTTATGAATAAGTGAAGAAAGTGGTTTCTTGAGATGGAATTTACTCTTGGTGACGACACTGTGAACCTTGTTGAAATGACAACAAAGGATTTAGATTATTATATTAATGTAATTGATAAAGAGCAGCAGGGTTTGAGCAGATTGAATTCAATTTTGAAAAAAGTTCTACTGTGAATAAAATATTGTCAACAACACATACTATAGAGAAATCTTTTGTGAAAGGAAGAATCAATTGATGTAGAAAATTTTATTGTCTTATTTTAAGAAATTAGCACAGCATTCCCAACCTTCAGTAACCATTACTGTGATCAATCAGCAACCATCCACATGGAGGCAAGACCCTCCACCAGCAAAATATTACAACATGCTGAAGACTCAGATGATTCTTAGCATTTTTTTTTTTTTTAGCAATAGAGCATTTTTAAATTAAGGAATGAACCCCGGTTTTTAGATGTAATGCTATTGTGAACTTAATAGACTACAGCATTATGTAAATAACTTTTATATCCACTGGGAAACCAAAATATTTGTGCAACTCATTTTACGGCAATATTCTTTTTGTTGTGGTAGTCTGGAACTGAATCCACACACTATCTCCAAGGTATGCCTGTACTCGCTTGAAGAAATTAAAAAAAAAAAAAAAAAAAAAAGGTGGTCAAATTCCAAAGCCATTCAATATTCTTACAGATATTTTAATTTACTTATTTTTATAAATACTATTATGAGAAAAGGCTTACAAGATATTTTAGAATGTTGTCCTGATCTAATACATTAAAAATAGTTTATCTACCAAGTTTAAAATACTTAATATATAAATAACTTTAAAATATAGGACTTTAAAATAGATTTAAAGTAGAATGATTAAAGTGGAGATATAAAGGATTTGTCAAAGAACAGCATTTCTCAAAAAATGATCATCATATTCACCAAGGTTCATGACTGCAAGCTAGCTGTACCACTTCAGTTTGCATGATTGATTCACTAGGGCA